AGTTGAGTAGATAGTGAAGGAGTCACACCCTAGATTGTTTTGATCACTTCCAACATGTTATGACATTAACATTTGAGAGAGTTAGAGATCTTTTGCAGATGAAATTCTCATAGCTATTAATATAATGTGTCACTCAAGGTAGGCAAACATTTTACACACATTATTCATTTGCAATTGAAATTTTTTCCCCCGTTAGGCCAAATCTTGAAGTCCTTACCCAGTTTTTACTAATTCCACAGGAAATGGAGGTTTTGCCTGAGCAAGGATTTTGGGAGTCCCTTCCTGGAGTCAAGACTTTCATTGCCTTCAGTGAACATTAGGCTCCAACTCTGGATCTGTGCGTTTTATAACAATAACTTTGTTTAAAGGAGACATTCATTCTCTTAGCATGTTCTGAGCCTTGCATGAGAATCAGTAATATTTTAGCTTGTATTCTGACTTTTTATAACCCTTGCCTAGTTATGGTTTTAGTTGCTATCAGCACAGTCATAGCAAACTAAATGGACTTTCTTTGTTTCTTTAAAGTGCAGGAAAACATTTTTCAGACCTTTAGGAAACTTATGTGTTGGGTCAGCAGAAACATGGGATTGAAGTGGGACCCCGCTATAAGCCAACTGAATGTGTGATAAGAAAAAGTGACAAGTAGCCAAAGAACAGTAAACAATGCTAAAAAGCAAAGAAAGTTAAATGCTTTGCTTTTTTAGTTTTCTGTTTCCTCTTCTGAAAGAAGGTTGAAAGATTAATACCAAATAAATATGGAAAATGCTGGACATATCACAGCTTAGTGCTGCTGAAAAGGAATTAAGTTGTGAAATGAATTGATGGTATCAATGCAGAGCCCACTGGGCAAATGTTGACATAAAAGTTACCACTGCACTTGGCACAGGTCTAGTATTCTTGCTGGCAGTCTCGTCAGAGGCCAGTGACAAAGGCTGGAGATCGAGCTATCCTCTCCAGCGTCAGTTTTGAGGCTGATTGCTGGGATTGTGTGAAGAAGCCTTCCATGCTACTGCCTATGCTTTACCTCATATATGGATAAACAGAAGGCTGTAGTCTCCAGTACTGCACAAACACACACACACACACACAACCATCACCAAAAATGATCAAAAGACCCATTGCATTCCTCACCCATGATCTTGGCAGATGTTCCCAGGTTCTGTGGAACGGTCCCTTCCCCATCCATGCCTTTTTATTCTACTTTCCCCCAAGGGGCCCACATCCTAGTGCTGGCTGAAGCGGACTAGTCCTAGAACTAGCTGGTGGCGCTCCTTTTTTCATCTGCCACAGGGATTGTGTTAGAGAGTGATGTGATATTGAGTGTCTGCTCCCCACACAGAGCCCAGGTGTGTGATACCTACAAAGTGCACTCACCCTGTTGGTACAAAAGCTTAGACTTTGACCTCGGGTCCCTTAGGCATGAGAACCATTGTGTTGCTACTGCACTGCCAGGCTACCAGTCACCTTCATATTTTCAATCTCACAAACAAATATATAAAGCAAGCTCTGCTATATTAACAGGAGTTACTTCACTTTGGGCTGTGAAGCTCTAATTAAACTCTAGCTTTCCATTTCAATAGCACAACAGCTTTCAAACTCATGGCCAAAGTTTGTCAGCCCTAATCCAACTCCCCAGAAGCCTGCATAGCAGTCACTCTTCAGGCCGCTGTGACAGGAACTTTGTAGAGGGGAATTTTGAGGTAAGGCTCAGGAGTCCAAAGGCATGATCCACACAAGTATGTGTTAACACCCCATGTGCATAGCCCTTCAGATGGCTCAGCTCTGCTCTTGGGATACACCGTCTGGGGAGATGAGTAGGTGGATGCAGGGAGAGCTTTACATGAAGCTGCTGTCAGTCATTACGGGTAACATTTGCAAAATAGCACATCACTTAGGCTCATGAGTCCCATTTGCAAAAGTGAATTAGGCAATAAGGATCCTAAATCCCATTGACAGTCAATCTTAGATTCTACCTCATATTTAGTTTTCAATGCCAGCAAATGAACTCATTACCTTAACGGTCCTTGGTCCCTTTTTAAATCATTTCTGCTTTTAAAATTGCTCTGGAACGAAGCTGGATGGCCCAGTTCCTCAGCTGCAGCAAAGAATTGCTTACCACAACTGAGAAGGGGGGCGGAGGAGGCACAAAGGTAGTTTTAAGCCACCTTTGCCAATTCCTCCAATCCTGATGCCATTTTGCACTAGGCCAGTCCCCAGAATAAAACAGAATAGCTTTCAGGCTGCCAACAGCCTCTGGGGGTGGATCTAGCAGCAACAGATGGCTGGGGCATGGGAACATCCTGGCCAAGCCCTCTTTCCCCTTGCTACATCCCCTCCACCAGTCCCAGGGAGAAGAGGTGAAGTAGCTCCAATGCCACCCAAGAATTCCGTACAATGCAACGAAGATACTTAAGGGGATGGATCTGTTGGGTTTATGGAGCTTTGCATTGCAAAGCAGGAACTGGCCCATTGACTTCAGGAAATATGTAACAAGAGAAAATAAAATTCCCCTTCTGGAGAGGAAAGGGCTGCTTAGGTGCTTGACTGTTTGGGAAATTATTTTCAGCAGAGAATGCTGATATCTGTCCCCATCTGAATTAACTTTGTGTTGGGGCTTGGGCAGGGCCAGGGGTGATCCCTTAATAGCTGAACAATGATACTATTTCTTGTTTTGCTTACATGGCAAATTGTGCAGACTGATAGCTTGAAAAAAAAAAGTATTTGAAGCCCATGTGTCATTTCAGAGTACATAAAGACATCCAGTTCCTTACATCTGATTTTTATAAATGCAATAATAAGTGCAAATATTCTAGGAATAGTCACATTTGTCACAGGATGCATACAACCAGCTTAATGGCATTAAAACTGAAGGTGAAAACTCATAGGTGATCCAGTTTCTTTCAGCAGTTCAGGAAGTTCATATGATTGCTTAACATGCTTCCTAGCCACTTAATAAAACACTTTAGAGTGAGGTTTAAAAAAAGTGCTCTCTGCTGAAATTCTATTAGAGTATATATTGCTTCCTTCACACGTTTAACCCTTTCACTGGTGCTCTCTGACTCTGCTCTGGGACACAATAGCATTCTTTGAAATGTTGGATGTAAAAAAATCTTTAGTGCTGCCCCATAAAACACATATCCCCATGTCTTGTGCTAGCACTTTGATCCTGAACCACTGAAATCAATGGGAGTTTAGCCTTTGACTGCAATGAACAGGATAAAGCCCCTAATACAGACCTCCTAGTGCTTACCAGTATGGTTTAGGATGGGGCAAAACACACCCATCCCATGCTAGGCAGTGCTGGCCTCCCCCTTTGCACTTTGTCACCTGATTATGGATGCCTCCTCCATGGTTGCAATGGATGGGTAAAGTAGGTTCCTATTGTTTTAGGGTCTGATCCAAAGCCCAATGAAGTCAATGGGTACCTCTCATTGACAGTGGCAGTGTATTTTGGGCCAGGTGCTAAATACTTAGGCCAGTTTAAGCAGATTAAATAGCTTTGTCTTACAGTGTGATTTAAAATTATGGTTCTATGGTAGGTGGTAAAAAGTTCTGCGTTCTTTACATTTTAATGGAGAGGGGGGCTTAATTTAGTATAGTATACCCACATCCTTAGGAGCCATGCAAACTGTGCAACTCCAAGGTGCCAGAACTGCTGCAGGCTGATTTATTTATTATTTCTGGGGAAGAGAGCAATCTGCCACAAAGGAAACGGGAAAACTCAGGAAGAGGGAGTGACGGAGCTGGTGGTGTGAAGGGAGATTATTGTGCTCTGCTAAACTAAGCTTTATGCTCAGCCAACACTTGGCTCCTCTAGCTGCCCCCCCCACCCACTAGGGCTACTAAGACATGTGACTCACCCTACACCCACTACAGGTAGGAAGCTTGATAGTTCCAGTCAGAGCTTAAAAACTGAGGATATTAAACCCCAAAAGTAATTTACATGGGAGTTGGACAGGGAGGCACAGCCCAGATACCATCACTGAGTGCTGCAGGATATTCTCCTGCATCATTATTTGAGACAGGAAGTTCCCTGCTATGTATTTGGGTGCTTCTCTTCTGATTGCCGGGGTCTTTCATTCTGGAGTGAAGGGTAATCCTCTGTAGCAAGGGGATTATTCACCAGCACAGCACCTCCAGCTGGTCAATTTGGGAATTAGCTCTCCAGCCTCCAGAGCACTCTCTGCAGGCTGGTGTCTTGCCTGCTGTTAGCCCCCATGTCCCTCCCAAACCCCAGTGCCCATTTACCTTGGGGTGCTGCCCCCTGGCAGTGCCCCCACACTCTGGGTCTCTCCTCCCAGGGCAACCCCCACCCTCTATCCCCATCTTGCCTCAGTGGCAACTGCCAGTCATCATCTAGCCCCCACTTACTGGGGCAGACGGCAGCCTGTAAACCACTCATCAGCTGCCTTTGCCTAACCCCAGGCTATCCCTTTGCAGCCCCAGTACCTCTGTAGGCCTTGCATAAGGCCTGCAGCCTGGGGATTTACCAGGCTGGAGCTCCCCAGCACTACTCTTCGCAGGAACCCTGCTCAGCTCCCAGGCAGTCAGGTCCTTCTCCCTCTCTCTCGAGAGAGGGCCTAAGCTGTTGGCTCACAGCCCTTTTATAGCGCCAGCTGTGGCCTGATTGGGGCATGGCCCCTGCTATGGCTGCTTGCCCAATCAGCCTAGCCTTTTCTCTCAGCCCCAGCCCTCTCCAGGGGCTGGCTTTTAACCCCTTCTGAGCCAGAGCGGGGTGACTGCCCCACTACATCCCCCCAGAATAGCACAGGCTCAGGAGGTGGCTTAAAGGCACCTTACTGGCACCCCTGAACTATGAGCTCTGTGCTGCACCCTTCAGAGCACAGAAATGATGAGATATGTTTTCCATTTCTATAATGATGTGCTAAAAAATCACTGTATTTGGCCTATGTTATAGTGGCTACTGTTGTTTTTACCAAGGAGATGATCTGAACATGTTTCTACATCACTGTGATTTTACAGAGCCTCTGAGCTAGGCCTTTTATTTCCAAGCAGGATTTTATTCCTTTAATGCTTTGGCTGGAAGGTGTGTGTTTGAGGGGGGAGGGGGGTACTTTACTTTGCTGGTTTCGGTTTACAGGATCGCTGGTGGACAATCAGTCTGTCTGGCAGGAAAGTACGCCCACAAATATCACATGGAACTAACTGGCTCTGGGCACTGTTCCAGGCAGCCTCATTTAGAGCATCAAGATCATAGAAACCTTTGGCTGGAAAATTAAAAAAGAAAGTATTAGTTTTCATTCTGGAGAGCCATATTCAGCTCTTTATGGAAAATATTTTCAGGAAATACCTGTTGACTGAGCCTTTTAGTTTTAACCAAATCATCTTGCTTTTGAAAAAAAAAAAAAAAAAAAAAAAGCCCTGCTTATAGTCCCAGGGGTTGAATAAACTTAACTATAAACTCAGTCATTCTGTATTGTACTAAAGCAAGGAAAAAACATTGCTCTTTGTGTTATGGTATGAATTCTTAATTAATTATTTACATCTTTGTATACACATTATTATCAGCAAAGTTTCGCTTTCTTGGCCTTATTTCAAGTTCTGCTCAATGAGTCTGTATTATCTGACCAAGTGGATGGGAGGAAATGTATGTTGTGTATGTCCCATCTGTGTTTGTCTGAGCAAAGGGCCCAATTCTTCTCCAGTTTAAGTCAACAAGAGTATTGCCATTGACTTGAATAGGAGTGAGATTAGCCCAAAACCTCTTATGGACAAATCCTGCAGTTTTTACTCAGGCAAAACACCCACTGAGGTCATTGAGACTGGTTCTGCAATCCTTTCCTAAACACATGTAGTATTTTGTTCAATTTTTACTCACAATTATTTCAGTGGGAGTTTACCTGCATTACGAGTACAGGATCAGGCTCTAAAGAAATAGCTGGAGTTTATTTCAGCTACTTAATTTGTATCATAAAACCTTGTTTTCTTTCACCTTGTCTTCAAACTGCGAGCACCAGTCTATTTAAAAAAGCTCCCATGCATTTTTAAAATATTCCATGGTTTCTGTCACTGGCACGATATGGATCTCTTCAGGAAGGGCCCAGGCAGTTTTAATATGATTCATATCCAACAGTTCACATAACCACAATAACCCTTAGATCTCTTAATACGCCTGTTCCTAATGTTCTTTTTGCTAGATGAGCAACCGACTGGTGTTTCTTTCTTTGGCTGAGGCAAATACCCCTTTCTTTTGCAGGAAATGAATGTGTATTTTCTGTACTTTGGAAAGTTTATTGAATAAAAAGAGAGAGACAGAAAAGGAAAGGAGGTGACTTTCTCCCTACAGGCATTTGTTGCATTCAGAAAACAAAAAAACTGCAATCAGTTCAGTGGTTCTCTCCAGTCACACTTATTTTTTTTTTAAAAAATATGTCAACTATACAAAGTTTTATGTAAACAGATCTCATTTCGGTACCTCTCTTTAGAACACTGCTTGTTCCATTCACCAAAAAGGCTACCCCCCTCCTCCATTTATAAAACTGTGAGACATGTGGTGTGTGTGTGTGGTTTGGGCGGTAGTTTGCATTTTCTGGATGATTGGAATCATCTTAGCAAAAAAGAACAAAAGGAAGATTATTTTCTTGGGGACAGGAGAGTGGGGAGCACATAGTTTTTGCTCAAACATGGTGCTATTCAGCCTATCAGCAGCAGACACTTAGGACCATATTGTGGAAGCTGTCAAGTGCCTCCTTGGGATCTGTGGGCACATAGCACCTCACAGTAGGTACTCAACACCTTGTAGGACTGCAAAGGAGTGAGGCAACATGCAGATTCATAAAGGTGCATCCTGCTGTGCTGATTTCTTTAAGGGCATGGCTACACTTGCAGATGTAGAGCGTTTTGAGTTTAACCAGCCTGAGTAGAGCACAGTAGGGAAAGCGCTGCAGTCTGTCCACACTGACAGCTTCAAGTGTACTTGTGTGGCCACATTAGCAGCTCTTGCAACGGCCACAGAGAGCAGTGCATTGTGGTAGCTATCCCAGCATGCAAGTGGCTGCAACGTGCTTTTCAAATGGGGGTGGGATGGGGTGGAGTGTGACAGGGAGTGTGTTGTGTGTATGTGGGGGAGAGAGAGTGGGTTTTGGGGGGCTGCAAGCATGTCAGCATGCTGTCTTGTAAATTCAGACAGCAGCAGACCTCCTCTCTTTCCCCCGCCTCTCTCTCTCACACACAGCATTCCACAGTAATGGTTGCTTTGTCTTGGAGCAGATAAGCAGCCGGCTGTCAGAAACGGAGCTTTCCAAGGGCATATCCGCATTCCTGCAGCGATTCCAAAACAATGAGAAGAGTGGCCACTTGACTTAAGGGGATTATGGGACGTTTCCGGAGGCTGATCAGAGTGCAGTAATACAACACCTTGTTCACACTGACGCCCGGGCATTTCAGCCAAGGCGCACCAAGCATTAATCTTCTTGCCAAGGTGGAGTACCAGGAGTGCTCTACGTGCCTTGCCAGTGTGGATGAGTACTGAGCTAGGGTGCCTGGAGCTGCTTTAATGTGCTCTAACTCGCAAGTGTAGCCAAGCCCTAAGAGTAGATACTTTCTTTTCCTCCCACTTCCCCAAGATAGCTAGTGGCTCAGAATGCTGCTGTTCCACAAAACCTTGAAGTATTCCTTTTTTACCCAGCCATGCCCTCCTCTATCAGATCTAGTCCTCTATCTTTTTCTCTTATTTTTACTCCTGGTATGTAGTAATAAAAGTGACAATCATAAAAAGAGCTAATGAAATGAAAATGTCTTCTCAGAGTATGTCTTCACTGCAGAACTATCTTGGGTTAATTCAGGCACTCAGGTTAGCCTAGTCTGGCTGAGAGCAACCATACTGCAAAACAATACTCGAGTTACTATGTCCTCACTGTTGCTGCACTCACCTGTATCTGTCGCTGAGACTCCTGGGAGCATATCCCATGGTTCTTTGTGCTGTAGTCAGCAGAGCCACTCTCCAAGGGAAAATGTGGGAAGGAACTGAAGGGCTATCAACACTTTGAATGAGTTAGCCTACATCCTCATTGCAAACAGGGTGAGTCACCAGCCCGAGTGAAAGCAGAACCCTGGCTGTAACCCACACCCCAAGCTTGCCAGCAAACCCAGGCTGAAAGCATCACTCAAGATGGGAAAGAGGGTTTTATGTGTGGACAGGAGGGAGGTTTACAGGCAACACTCAAATAACAGCCGGAGCTAACTCTGCTGTGAAGACATATGCACAGAGTAAATGTAAGGGTTCAATCCTGCAAGACACTGGGCACTGCCAATTCTCATTGATCTGGGGAGGGGAAGTGAGGAAACTCCGCAACTTGCAGAATCGGGCAAAATTGCAATCATTGAATAAAGAAAAGGAGTACTTGTGGCACCTTAGAGACTAACCAATTTATTTGAGCATGAGCTTTCGTGAGCTACAGCTCACTTCATCAGATGTTTACCGTGGAAACTGCAGCAGACTTTATATACACACAGAGAATATGAAACAATACCTCCTCCCACCCCACTGTCCTGGATGGGCTAGCACCAGCAGGAGCGTGAATTTGTGTGGGGGGGTGGAGGGTGAGAAAACCTGGATTTGTGCTGGAAATGGCCCACCTGTTGATCACTTTAGATAAGCTATTACCAGCAGGACAGTGGGGTGGGAGGAGGTATTGTTTCATATTCTCTGTGTGTATATAAAGTCTGCTGCAGTTTCCACTGTAAACATCTGATGAAGTGAGCTGTAGCTCACGAAAGCTCATGCTCAAATAAATTGGTTAGTCTCTAAGGTGCCACAAGTACTCCTTTTCTTTTTGCGAATACAGACTAACACGGCTGTTCCTCTGAAACCAATCATTGAATAAGTGAGAGGAAATGAATGTTTATTTTATGTCACATACAGTATTTTCCACTGTAGTTAGGCTTCCATATGTCACAGTGGGAAGTGTATTTGTATTAAGCTATTAGGGTTTAGAGACAGTAGAAAGATCAATGCAACTGTCTTATTGCATAAGGTATTGTAATTTATATATATATATAATGAAGAGCAAAATGCTGTACTGTAGTGTATACAGTAGCTGCTTTTAAAATGGCAACATGTGCTAATAGTTACTACATAGTTAGCATTGGTATTACTACTAGGGTAGGGTTAAAACTCTGGTATCTCAGACACCATTTTGTGGTTACCATTGGCAAATGTTAGTTTGTTTTTAAATGGCCAACATTATAGGTGTAAAAGCTGGCTGAGGTATTAGTCCCCAAATTGCTCTTGCCTGAGGATATTTTGTTCTAATGAATGCATATGTCAGTGTGACACTAAGCACCCCATGTATTCACACCCTACATGCTGTTGTACTAAATTCTTTGTACAAAATATGCCTTGTGAGGTATCATTTGAAAACTTATATCTGACTGATCATGTGATGTATGTACCCAGTGGGTATTAAAAGATATGGATATATGCTAGAATTATGACTAAAGAGTGTTTAAACCAGGTATGTCAGGAAGAGTTGTTAAACAGGTCTATCTTAAACAAAGGAAGGTGTCAGAGTAGCAGCCATATTAGTCTGTATCTGCAAAAAGCTACAGCTCTGAAGTGAGCTGTAGCTCACGAAAGCTTATGCTCAAATAAAGTCTCTAAGGTGCCACAAGTACTCCTTTTATTTTTAAAGGCAGGTGTCTTTACCTCAATTTACATACAAAAAGTAAACATCAAGACAGCAGGGGGAAGAGATGACAGGAAACAGAACAATTTGCATTTCAGCAAACACAAGCCGGGGAAGAAAGAGCATGAAGCTCCCTCAGCATCAGACTATTTGTTGCCTTCCTTACAGCTTGAATACATTTTACTTTGAGGGGTAACCCTCAGAAGAATTATTTAAAGGTTTATGGGTCTATAAAGAAAAGGGCTGAAGCTCAAGTGATAAGCAGTTGCATCACCTGATTGTATACAACATTACTGTGTTACAAAAGTATTTAGAGCGAGGTCTTTTCTTAAAGCTAATGACACCCTGGTGATTAATATCATTGTGAAATGCCTGTATTAACACTATATAAGGAATTATGGAGACTCATTGATACTATGTTTTAAAGTCTGTGGCCGAACAGGGAGAAACAGATTCCCTCCCAGACAGGAGAGAAGGTAACTATTTACCTGTCTCCTATGTAAATTAAGTATGTTGGAATCAAAACAACAGAAGCTTGTGATGCAGTGTGCTCCCCAAGTAACTGAAGAGAGTAACATAGGTCAGATGGCCCAATTAGGCTGTAAACTGGAGGACATTTAGGCTGAAAGGAAAGCCCTAATCAAAGGAAACTCATCTGTTCAGGACAGGTGGGGGTTTTATAGCACTCAGGGAGCTCCTAGCAGAAAGGAGCCTGCTGGGAGGAGGGCTGTAGACACCCAAAATCAACCTTAAGGATGTATTAGAGAAGTATTGAAATGGTAAACAGGGCCATTCTTGTAGATAGTTATCAAAGCCATGTTAAAGTAGATTAAATTATTTGAAATGTAAACCTGTATTATTAGAGAATTAGAAGAAGATACTAATTGTATTTGTCTGTGTTTACTTTTATCTTGTTAGATGTTAACAATGTAACCATATTAGCTTGTGGATGATAAACATCTATTCCTGTTTGTTACTATATTCTATGGATTCAGAGATCAAAAGGGAATGTTAACATTTAGATGAAATTTGTGATGTAATAATATCATTGTCTTTATGTCTCTGAAGTTTGTAGTAAAATTACCTTATCCTAATAAATGCAGCTAGTTACTGGTCTGTGTCTAGTAAATAGAGATTTACGTCAAAGCAATCATGTGCATTACCTATTCTTCATTCAAGGAATGCCCGCTCTGTTATCTGCTGTCAAAAGGCTATCATAGCCTACTAGAGGACTATAAATGAACTCTAGGTCCTGATCCTTGCCATCTCAGAACTGCTTCAACTTTTTCAGGGGAAGTTCAAGCCACAAGACTGAGGTCTCCAGGTACCCTGGACTGCCCCTGCAAATTCTTATGGAAGAATTTGAACAAAGTCTATACATGGACTGCCTATTATTAAACTGATTCTGGAAGGAGTTTTTGCAAATCAGCAGCTCACCATCTTTGCTATGACCTAAGAACTTTATTCATATTTGTAGGTATAATGATCTTTTAACCACAGTAACTCTTTCTTTTCCTTTTAAATAAAACGTAGATTAGTTAATAAGAATTGGCCATAAGAATGTATTTGGGTAAAATCTGAAATATTCATTGACCTGGTTAGTAATGTGTCTGATCTCTTGGAATTGGTAGAACTTTATATATGGTTTAGATTTTAAGTAATCCACACCATATTTGACCTGGCTGTCTGGGTGGGAGCCAAAGACTGGATTGCTAAATGGGAACGATATTTTAGCTTCTTGGTAACCAGTAAGGTCTTACAGAAAGTGTTTTTTGACTGGCTTGGTGAATCTAATTATAAGAATAAACCACCAGTGTGGGGGATTTGCCCCATTTTTTGCAGTTCACCCTGATTGACCATTCTCAGCGTGGCCCCTCCAGTGGCCACAGTCACTCCCTAACTTGTCTGGATTGCACCCTGAACCCTGTAACAGTTGTACTTGCATATTGATCTTGGATGAACTGTCCTGCTTGAAAATGTGCCTTCCTATGGTGCAGAAAGTAGCCCAGAGTAATGCCCGTGAAGGACTTAGTTACGAAGCAGATCGCAAATGGCTGGTTTTAGATTCAGAAGGGATTGACATATAAGGGGCCCTTACTTGAGAGGCACAGAGCACCTGTAACTGACACTGATTTGGCAAAAGAAAAAATAGGATGCTTAAAACAAGCTAAACTCTATCACAAATAGATTGTTTCATACGAATGAACACAAAATTACATGTAAAACATTTCTCTCTCTTTAAAACTATTTTTTCCCTCCAACTTACACCCTCCCATTTCCTCTTGTTTGGTCTGTAGCTTACCTCCTAAGGATCTGACTTCTGGCTTTTTAGGTTCAGGTCTTCGTAAATGTTTGGGTAGCATGTCATTCTCGTTATGCCATTTTTTCAGACATTGTGGTTCATGGATGCCAATAGATTTAGTTCCAAACTCACGGCCACATATATAACAAACAACAGTGGGAGGCCGTCTGATGGCTGGTGGCTGCAAACAACAATTGCAGTAAAGAAGCATTATTGTTTTCAGAACTCATTTTAGACAATAATGATTTTAATGGAAAATGATCATATTTAAGGAACTGATCCAAAGCTCACAAAAATCAATGGGAGTCTTTCTGTTGACTTCAGTGGGCTTTGGTTCAGGCCCTAAACCCATAAAGGTCCCTCCTTTATTAAATGGTCACTTGAGCAGGTAGATGCTCCAGACTCTGGGCTGAAAATTCATGGATGTCACTTCATTATTCTTTGACTGGTTAGTTTTAAAGCCTTCTACTCCTACCATTACAGTCATAGCCATAGCAGTGGATCAGCATACTAAATAAAAAATTATCATTTAAGTATGGGATCAAGCAGAAAAAGAGTAGTTTAACTCAGGAGAAAATAATTATTTAAAATAAGATACCTCCAATGATATTGGGGGGAACACAAAAGGGTCACCATCAAAGCAAATAGCTTTCTCTTTAAAAAGGTGTCCTAGGGGAGAGAGGTAACTTTTTATCTCAGCTCCACCACACTTTCATTCTGAAGTGACAGGCCATCATTACCATTGGATAGACACAAGCGGGGGGGGCGAGATAATCTCTCTTATTGGACCAACTTCTGTTGGTGGAAGGCACAAGCTTTCAAACTACACAGAGCTACAACACTGCAAAAAGTTGCCATTGGATGACTGCTTGTGGCTTATGTGAGAACGAGTTAGTGGTCTCAGTCCTGTGCCAGCCACGTCACAAAAAGACATCCACATCACAAAACTCACGGTTGCAGTTGGCACTCTTTCTGGCACTCTCAGCAGAAAGGCTAGAGACTGAATAAGCACATCTAACCAAGCCTTGGAAATTGTCCCTCGAGATCATAGCTGAAGCACCTTGGTGGAGGAGAGTAGGGAAGTCTGATAAAAGATGTACTGTAGCCAGAAGTCTACTTGGGCTTTATTTAGAAACGCACGTTAAAAAAATGTAAGAAAAAATGGCTCCTTATTATAATTTTCAACAGCATGCAAATATTTTTCTAAAGAAAACTGAAGACCAGAGAGAAACATCAGAACTGAACTAGATCACCTTCAGGATGGCACGATACCTGTCCTGAACCCATGCTACATGTTAAATTCTCTCCCACCTCCACAGATACACATACCAGAGCTAACTAAAATACAAAATGTGAAAGAAAGTTCTCCTTGCTATTTTTCATAAGAGATGATTGTTAAACCATGGAATCTCTGTGATGGTGAGTTTCTTTGGGATTTTTAAAACCACTGGTATTTAACATTAATTTTTATTCCTCCTTAAACTGTCCTGCCCAAATGTCACATTTTGAATGATTATTGTTTGGAAGTAAATTATTTTTGGAAATCATCAGATCCCAGTTCAAGGAATTTTCCAACCCAGACTACTCATAGGACAGTTACTAAACAGTCTGCTACTTACTGTTCACGGTTTTGTTTTTCACTTATAAAAAGAGTGATCACATTAATGCCCAATGTCATGAGGAAATATGTCCTCATAAAAATAGCTCCAAATACCTGACAAAGTCATTAAGACTTTCTTCTAGTGAGTGTCCTTTTTTACAAGGTTATGACCATTTATTGTCTTCACTACCATGAATACAATTATTAAACTCAAAGGCTATATATTTTCAACAATGAACAAAATATGCACAGTAATTTCTTTTTCCAAGCCTGTTTTGTAGAACATGGTACTTACCTGAGAGGTATATTTTTGGTTTGTTATGGCATTCAATTTGACTGGGTCGCAAACTTCCCTTAAGAGCATAATAATTTTTCATCTAGTACTGGACGAGCCAAAAGTTCCCACTCATCAAATTATCTACCTAACTGAATGACAGGGTACCAGAATTCTGACCAGCACCGCTCACATGTGAACAATGGAGCAGAGAAAGAAGTATAAAAGATTAATAGCAGAATCAGGCTCCTGGAAAGCAGACTTTTTTTCACCCATCCCAACCTGTCTGACAGTTAAGGACATTAGCGTAGGGGTGGAAGTCTCTCTAGTATGAATCTTATTAGTATCAGAAAGATTGTCTCTTTGTCACAGGCTATCATAATGACCTCAGTGCGGGACTGGCCATACTGACAGGAATGGTGTAGAATAGAAGCCAGAACTGACCCCTATATTTATCTAGTTAAGTGTAGTAATAAAAAGGTAATTCTGTTTGACACCGTAGATAAATAAATATGTAACCGCATGGGAATTATCTGAGTTTTCCATTTTATTCAAAAAGTGCTACCTTTTTGAAACTCAGAACTAAAATGCACGGTACTATAGAGAGGAGAGAGGGGAACATCCACACCCATCATGATATTTCTTAATGAAACTCACTCAAATGTTTTATTGTCCATTTTTATCTATCCTTTTCTATGTCCTCATATTTTTGTGAATTACCTTCTAACAAAGTGTCCAAATCAGCTCCTGCTGAAATTAATGGAGAGTTTGTCATTGACTTCGATGAGAGCAGGAACAGGCCCATGTTGTTTGGCAATACATGCTATTTGAAAAAGTTCTAATTCTATGATCTCATTACACAGTTATGTGGAAGATCAGGTGAATGGTGTAAAGATTTTGCTGGAGTACCAGACTGATTCTGTGTTAAGATGTACAGTAATGCAGAAGAGAGAGGTGGCTAACATTTTTATTTTGTGGGTAAAACATTACAGTAGGGAATAAACAGCAGATGGCAGCACCAGATGCTACAGATCCAGCTGGTAGGATTTTAGGATTAAAGTTATTGTCAAGGTTCCTCCCCCACTCTGAACTCTAGGGTACAGATGTGGGGACCTGCATGAAAAACCTCCTAAGCTTATCTTTACCAGCTTAGGTCAAAACTTCCCCAAGGTACAAAATATTACACCCGTTATCCTTGGAATGGCCGCTACCACCACCAAACTAATACTGGTTACTGGGGAAGAGCTGTTTGGACGCGTCTTTCCCCCCAAAATACTTCCCAAAACCTTGCACCCCACTTCCTGGACAAGGTTTGGTAAAAAGCCTCACCAATTTGCATAGGTGACTACAGACCCAAACCCTTGGATCTGAGAACAATGAAAAAGCATTCAGTTTTTACAAGAAGACTTTTAATAAAAAATAGAAGTAAATAGAAATAAAGAAATCCCCCCTGTAAAATCAGGATGGTAGATATCTTACAGGGTAATTAGATTCAAAAACATAGAGAACCCCTCTAGGCAAAACCTTAAGTTACAAAAAAGATGCACAGACAGAAATAGTTATTCTATTCAGCACAATGCTTTTCTCAGCCATTTAAAGGAATCATAATCTAACACATACCTAGCTAGATTACTTACTAAAAGTTCTAAGACTCCATTCCTGTTCTGTCTCTGGCAAGAGCAGCATACAGACAGACCCAGACCCCCTTTGTTTCTCTCCCTCCTCCCAGCTTTTGAAAGTATCTTGTCTCCTCATTGGTCATTTTGGTCAGGTGCCAGCGAGGTTACCTTTAGCTTCTTAACCCTTTACAGGTGAGAGGAGCTTTCCCCTGGCCAGGGGGGATTTCAAAGGGGTTTACCCTTCCCTTTATATTTATGACAGTTATCAACATCTGTTGCCAAAGAAAGCAGAAAAAGAACATTTATAGCATTTCATTAATATCAATCTGCATAGGAAGTAGCAACCATTTTTTTTCTATGAAAGAGTAGTGCATTCTCTGTAGTACACGACTGGATTTAAATAATATAATTATGTGCCTTACTAACAACATCTTAATGTATCACTATATAATCCAAATAGGATCCAAGAAGAGGGATTTCAGAACTGATTTAATCTCCAAAAGTCAATTAGGCATAGGCTATTGTTTGGTTTATATATCGTCAGACTCAATTAATGTAAATGAGTCCATAGTTTCCATTAAAATCCATACTTTGGATTAAAAAACAACTTTGAACTAACAAATCAGTAATACATCAACTAGCTTTCTCTACAGCTGGACAAAAGATTTGGCAGACGATTAGAAGAAAATCAGAGCTAGCATAAAAACAGTGGGCCAGATTGTTTGCTTCCCCATGGTTGCTTTATCCTGCATTGGTGGCACATAGAAGCTCAAGAGGTGCTTTAGTGGTACCAACTGGTTCAGGATTCTCCAGTGTGGAGGAATCCCCAGGTGGTGCAGAGTCTGTATAACTGACCCTACCTCACCCTCTGATCCAACTCCCTGCACAGGGGACTTGCAAAGGGGAAAGTGTGTGGCAGGACATCCCTTCATTTCAGTGATACTCAGTTGTAATGACTCCTTTAGACCACTGGAAACAGGGACAAATTAGAGGAGCCATGAGGTTCCTCTGGCTAGTGCTAGCCCAGAATTGGGGTATGCAAGTTTATGCTCCTTGAAGTCTTTAAACCACGATTTGAGGACTTCAATAGCTCAGACATAGGTGAGAGTTTTTCGCAGGAGTGGATGGGTGAGATTCTGTGGCCTGTGTTGTGCAGGAGGTCAGACTAGATGATCATAATGGTCCCTTCTGACCTTAGTATCTATGAATCTATTGATGGTCTCTGATTATAAATATTAATGTAACTGTTGGCACAGAGACTCTCTTAATATATATATATTTTACTAAATATTCATAAAAGGACTTGATTCAGCAAAACACTTGATTTTACACATGTGCTTAATTGACTTGCTGATTCTGGACCAAAGTAGTTTGGATAAATATAACATGGACTGCCCAGGATTATTTTCCTCACCAAGAAGCCCTCTATTAATTTCTTCTGATCCTTCTCCTGTCCCTCAAAAGACATGCCCTGAGGCAACATTCCCTCAGGTGAACAGGGCTGAGATGCAGCTCTTTCTACTTTGCATTAACTAGGTATGACTGCATGTTGTATTTTCCAAACTTCTCCTGCCACCAGCCCAGCTCTTTCCCTCTATGCTGCAAAGCTGTTTGCTATTACTTAATTAGCCATTATTTATTTTTAACATAATATTAACACATTAGTAAATTGTTGTGTAGCTGGCAACATAAACAATAGTTACAAGTATTTGCTGGAAAAATACAGTGAAAACTGGACAAGATGACTAAAAATTAAGCTCTACAGATGGTCTATTTCTTGTGTGGTCTTTATGCTACTCAGAGAATTGAGATGATGTTCCCATTATAATTCTCTCTCTCTTTCCACTCCCATCTCTGCTTTGAAAGTGCAGGTCTACACAGAAGAGAGGTTCTGTAAATGTAAAAATGCAGTGTATTGTTCCTTTTCTATTACTGCTGAAGAATTCCCATACTAGATGTATTCAATTTACCAGTGAAGAGATTTCTTTTCTTGTGGCTAGCACTGCAAACTCATCCTCAGACCTGAAAATCAAGCTGGGTTCTTTCCTTCTTGTGCATCATCACTAATATTACACTGTCAGTCAGACCTGTACAGCCCCCATCAATGTCAGTGGAATGAACAGGTGTAACTGACTGGAAATAAGTAAACAAAGTAATGATGCACAAGAAAGATTAAAATCCAGTTCACGTCACCTTGACTACACTGGCTGTGCAGTATTAAGAGGAGTAAAAAGCAGTAATAACTTATTTTTGCGAATCAAGTCAGCAGATGTGATTGAATGCACCCACATCTGTTGAGTAAGAGGTTACCATTTTTACAAAGTCACTTTTTCCGTAGAACCTTTTCTGTACATCACTATAATTATGGACTTTTTTTCTTTTAATTTTTAAAAAAATATTTTTCTCTTAATTAATTTTTCTTCTTCAGTAAACATGAAATTGTACATAAAGAGGAACTTTAATTCATATGCATTATAATAGTATTTCATTGTACAATTACACTATATTACATAATGATACAAGCTATTTGGTTGGTAATACAATGTAACAATACAAGGTTAATGTACTTTTTTCTACAACCATAGCATTTATATAGCATTTTGCATTACTTCATATATCCTATGCCATGTGAACATGTGGTGAAGAATCCTACTGTCTATTCACCATTGTCTATCTATCTTATGTACTTATATAGCTACTAGTACTGTAGTATCTGAAAAGGAGGACTTGTGGCACCTTAGAGACTAACAAATTTATTTGAGCATAAGCTTTCGTGAGCTACAGCTCACTTTTACAATCTTTAATGTATTTGTCCTCACAACACCCCTGTGAGCTAGGGAAGTACTATTATAGCCCCCTCCTTACGCACACAGATGGGAAACTGAGACACAGAGATACTAAGGCCCCGATTTATGAAGATATTTAGGCATTGCCACACTCAGCACTGCAAGGCCTAAGTAACTTTGATGGCTAAGTCCCATTTTCAAAGGTGACCAAAATGGGAATTAGACACTGCAATGCTGAGCAGAGCAACACCTAAATATTTCTAAAAATCTGAGCCTAAGTGACTTAGCTGGTCTTGTAGGAAATCTGTAACAGAATAAGGATGTGGACATGGGTCTCCTGAATGCTAGACTAATGCGCTAACCACTGGACCATGCATGTTCCCTTTTTTACAGTAGTGTGACTCCATTGAAATCAAATGAAGTTGGATGCTCAGCACTTTTGAAATCAGGCCACTCATTTAGGCACCTAATTATGGATCTAGATGCTTAACTTTAGGCGTTTTTTAAAAAAAAATTCAGCCAAAATAAAGTACCATTCCAAAGTTGGTACAGAAACAAAAAAATATAGGCTCCATTTTGTTAATGTTCATGTAGCTTCTTGCATATAAATTGAAGTTAGAATTGGTCCCATTAATCTTGGCTCCTTCATCAAATTCAGTGGAAAAAACTGCAGTCTGTTTACTTATTTTTCATTGTATTCTGAGTTGCTGGCTTTGAACATGCAAAACCCAATGATTTTATTCATGGTTAAATCTAACATTTAAAAAATATAAATCTCTGGAATAATTAAAGTCCAAGAAAACATTAGGGCTCGTGTTAATTAAATACAAACATCTGATGTCTGTTAAAACATACTAGAAAATGCAAAGCCTGCTTAAGCAGCTTGACATAATCTCTTAATGACCTATAGTGCATAATGGCCTCTTCTGGGGATACATCTCCCACAGGAACATGAAAATGAGAACCCAAATATCTCCTTTCAACAAGTAAGATCAAAGAAACAGGGATAAATAGGATTAAAATATTTTATGCCTTCCCTTCCAAACACATTATTCCCCTCTTACTCCAATCTTGCTCAGTTGGTAAGAATTTGCATGGAGCAAAAAGATGCCTTTGAAAAAAGTAGGCCTTGAAATTTAAGATCTGATGAAAGTTCACTCATCTCTAGTCTCTGGGGTGTCTATAGCAAAACAATCATGTCTCTTTCATAGGTCATATGCATAATAATTTACCTTGTCTGGTATGGCCCCACTTTTTTGTTGAACTTTACTAGATTGATCAGTACGTGCTGCAGATACAAGGCCAGAGCTAGGGCCTTTAACAGATTTAGGGGGGTTAGAGCTTGAAGGGCCCAGGCCACCATCCTTTGGTCTGCAACTCCTTTGGTGCACAGGGAGACGATCAGGAAGAAAAGTGCGACCACAGTTTTCACAGGGTAAGAGCTGAGGTTGAGCACTCTGATAAGCTGCCTCATTTGCAGCCTTAATATTATAGGCGCCACCAGTGAGGGACTGAGGTTTAGCAGGCTCTGCTCTTCTGAGATGCTTTGGTAATTTGTCATTTTCAATACGCCACTTCTCCAAGCATTTGGGTTCATGTATGGCAAGAGATTGTGACCCAAATTCTCTGCCACAGATATAGCACACCCTAAAGCCAGGTCTCTTTGATGGAATGACTGGGCGATTCAACTGACTCTGAGACATGTTTGTAGTGTTCGACCGTTTTGATATTATTACGGTGCCTGGTCTCCTTTTCCCAGGGCTTGCTTTTACTATGGAATCTAAACTCACTATTTCTGGCAAAACTCTGGGAAGATCTGACACACTGGGTGTCGCAATCTGTTTTGAAGGCAGGATGGTAGAGATATTAGCAGGGGCCCTTCCAGCACTTGGCGGAGTTTTATTATGCTTGCTCAAACTCTTTTTCTTTACAGTTGTTTCCATGAAGAATACAATGTTCCAGGAATGTTCTCTCTACTTTACTTGAGATGGCCTTTTTTCAATGTGATGCTCATTTTTGTTGACTTTGCTTCGCAGGGCAGAAGTTATCAGAGTATAGGGGAGCTGCATGGAGTTGAGGCATATTTCCAGCAATCTGATTGTGATGTTTCAGTGGCAAGGGTTTGTGGGAGTTTTTTGTTGCAGTTTTTTTGTTTTGCCTTTTTGTTTTGTTTTATCCTGAAACAAATTATATAAGAAGAAATTAATAAACACTATCTCTTGTTAAAGGTTGGCAACCAGGGGTAAAGTAGACTCCATTTGCCTTACCACCATGCTATACTTTCAAGTCCCATACAAATAAGCAAGGCCATATAAGATGGTTGACCCACAGTGTCATCTGCTAAATTATTTTATTATATAAATCTGAAACTCAAAACTGTAAACTTGTGGGGTGCAAAGCCAGGAGAAGCAAAGTACGGATAAAAGGTTTGTATGAACCCAGGTGAATCAAAACTGCTGAGCTTAATACAACTGTAAACATAACCCAGAATTTGTTACTTTCATTCCTGACCAAAATGATACTTCATGAAATTTCCCAGTGCTAGCACACAACCCTCATCAGCAGTGTCCACCCTTCATCAACCCATGACCCTGCAGATAGCTCTCTGTAGGTCCGCGGATGAGTGTGGGATCGGTGGGCAGTCCAGGGAGACATACATCATGTCCTCTCTCTTCTGTCCTGTGTGATTTTAAAAAGCTCTAACTCATTGCAAAATTGCTTTTCTTTTCCTTGAAGCACAGCTCCCCTGGAACCAGGTGCCAGATAATGGAGAGGGACCACTGGGCCCCCAGAATCAAAGCAGAGGCACAAAAGCTCTGTGCAGAAGGCCTTTGCTTTCTATGGAAATCTGCCTTCCTTCCCCCAAAGAAACAACATGGAGGTAACGGCACAGGATTCCCCTTATAGAATTTTCCTTCCCTGGAGTTTCTTGTGGGAGGAGCAATCTGCCCCTCACTTGTCTTCCTCAGAGGCACAAGTTTTTGCCTCCCCGGTTTTCATCTTTATGCTCCTCTTAAAATAGTAATACTTTGCATATCTACAGCACCTATAGTTAAAGAATCGCAAGGCGCTTTACACATATTAGTTAATACTCACAACATCCTTGTGCTCCAGAGAAGTATTGTTCTTATTTTGGAGAGGAAGAATTTAGGCATAGAGAACTAAATTCAGAAGTGGTGTAAGGGGTGCATTCCATTGACCTAACTGCTTATAGCGGATCTGAGTTTAACCCTTGTCTAGGGCCACACAGCAAGTGACAGTAGATGAGGTGAGAACAGAACAGAAATCTTCTGTTTCACAACCCACTTACCCTGTTGTGCAGTTTGGTCATGAAAGATTACCATGCTTTCCCAATTTTACTAAAGGAACAACAATACTATCAATGACATTTAAGTTTGATAAACAAAAACATTAAACGACCCGTGTCTGAGACTACATATAACAGTGCAAGGTCAAAGTCTCCTCTCACTTATACTAGTCTAAACCTGATGTAAATCTGTGTTATATTGATGTAAAATCAGTAAGTTATATTGATGTAAAATCAGTAAGTAAGAGGGGAATCAGGCCCCTGCCATCCACAAGGAACAATAAAAATACTGAAAATTTTGACTTGTCATAAAACCAGTTTTTCAGTAAAAAACCCACTCTATCTTTGAAGTCAACCACGATAGAAATATTATGTGCCTCATCTCAAGAAAATACAGGAAATATTGACCATTCCATCTGATCTAAGATTTGTATTTTGATCATTTTTGCATATGTAACATTTAAACTAACGTCTTGCTGTAAATTACTTTTTATCTCCATGACATCATCCTTCCAAGCATTTCTTATTTAGTGTTGACTGGAAGACAAATTCATGGCCACAGATGTAACAAATTTGAAAATCCAGACAGCATTCAGGCAGATGAAGGTGATTCTGCATGAAAGAAAATAATACAAGACATGTAACTGACAGACTAGATAAAACCATTAATATGAAGTTTTGAACTACGTGTATTTTTTTAATTGAACTTTAAATTCACCATGCAACTGGGAAATTAAATTAACAATGAAGTTTGGATCATAACACTTCCTTGGAGAAAGCAACAAAATAAACTGTACATCCTTTGATACAAGATATTAGGCTGTAATTTTTGCAAGGTTTCTGGGAACAACTAAATAAAAAATAAACATACAACCATATATTTTGTTCATTTTGGATTAATTTTGTACGATTGGATACCAATAAAAATACAGATTCCTGCTGGAACTGTACTTTTTCAGCTTACCATTTATGACACTCCTTGAGCTCAATTTTCAAATTTGGTTTCCTGAAAGTGAAATTTTCAGTGAAACTTTGTGGAAATGGAACCTTAATGACCAAAATAAATCTTTATTAATGTCTATGCCTGTTAGCACAGCACAGCTGTGGGAGTGGGAGATGGATTCTCCTCTGAGTTCCATAGCATCAGCAGAATTGCAAACCCGGTTCTAATAGCAGGGCCAAATTCTGCTCTCAGCTATGCTTGAGCAATTCTGTTGAAGATGAACTTTATTAATGGGGGTGATGCATATGCAGAAAAAAGAACCCAACTTGACTTTTAGAACCCAAGAGGGTCTTGCAAGTTTTACTTGTAAACATAGCAAATGGAATATGCATGAAATGGAGGCATTAAAAACAAAGAAGCACAAAAAACAGAGATGCATGATGCTGTTTTTACGGAGTCACTTTTCAGAGTAAAACTTCACTGTATAAGCTGCACTGCCAAACACCCTCAACATGCCCTACTTTACTGAGAGTTCAGAGGGTTCAGCACTGCACATGAAATGCTAAATGACTCACATGATCACAATCATTACTAGAATATCCAGATCCCACATCTGGATACTCAGATAGACATTTAAATGTGTAAAAGAGGCATTTTCTAAGAAGATATTTAGATTTTGAAGAAATTGCCCATTTTCCATGCCTAAGTGCTGATCTGAGTATTCAAATATAGGTGTGGGTGATCCTGTTTATTAATGTAATCACTTATATTGCAACCATCATGAAATGTATTGCTAACAGTTGGTCATAAGAGACCATTCACTCCCATGACCAATACCAAGCACAATGAACATCCCAGCAGCTTTTAATGAGATTGCTACTTAGCATTTATATCAAATTTCAAGTTGCTTCACAATTTCAAAACACTAAATCATTGATTAATTAATCCTCACGGGTTGAAAGCTAAGCTTTATTGTCCCGACTGTACGGCTAGGGAAACTGATAAGGAGATTTTAAGTGACTTGCCCAAAGCTTCAGAGTGTCAGTGGAATAGCCAAGATTTGGACTGTGTACTTCCTAACTACTAGTCCTATGCTCTGAACACTAAACCTGTTAAAATCAGTGAAATACCATCTCAGATAAATGCATCTTCTGCTGCAGCTACATATTTAACAACCATAATCCTTTGTACCTTTGTAGTACTTGACATTGGAAGATCTCAAAGCCTTTACAAACATGAATGAACTAAGCTTCACAACAAGCATGTAGGATAAGTACTGTTATCACTGTTTAACAGATGAAGAAACTGAGGCACAGAGAGGTTGAGTGACTGACATAAGCTCACACAGCAAGTCTGTGGCAGTGCCAGGGATAAAATCTAGATCTTCCAACTATCTCACCATTCTGCTTCCTAATGGCCCCAGAGCCAGGCTCTGGACAATCACAAGAGGGAGCAAATTCTGAAGCAAAGGACTTGGCTATTCACTTTCAAGAATTCAGCTTTCAGCATGTTTGAACATTGGGATTTTTGCCTTTCTTATAGTTTCTGTAAATTGTCCCCTTGATTTATGTATGTATTTTACATGCGAGTCCTATTAAATGCTAGGTGAGCTATGTGAATACCATTCTCAACAAAAAGAAAAGGAGTACTTGTGGCACCTTAGAGACTAACCAATTTATTTGAGCATGAGCTTTCGTGAGCTACAGCTCACTTCATCAGATGTTTACCGTGGAAACTGCAGCAGACTTTATATACACACAGAGAATATGAAACAATACCTCCTCCCACCCCACTGTCCTGCTGGTAATAGCTTATCTAAAGTGATCAACAGGTGGGCCATTTCCAGCACAAATCCAGGTTTTCTCACCCTCCACCCCCCACACAAATTCACTCTCCTGCTGGTGCTAGCCCATCCAAAGTGACAACTCTTTACATAATCAAGTAGGGCTATTTCCTGCATAGATCAAGGTTTTCTCACATCCCCCCCACCCCCATACACACACAAACTCACTCTCCTGCTGGTTTCAGAGGAACAGCCGTGTTAGTCTGTATTCGCAAAAAGAAAAGGAGTACTTGTGGCACCTTAGAGACTAACCAATTTATTTGAGCATGAGCTTTCGTGAGCCCTGTGGCTCACGAAAGCTCATGCTCAAATAAATTGGTTAGTCTCTAAGGTGCCACAAGTACTCCTTTTCTCCTGCTGGTAATAGCTCATCTAAACTGACCACTCTCCAAGTTTAAATCCAAGTTAAACCAGAACATCTGGGGGGGGGGGGGTAGGAAAAAACAAGAAGAAACAGGCTACCTTGCATAATGACTTAGCCACTCCCAGTCTCTATTTAAGCCTAAATTAATAGTATCCAATTTGCAAATGAATTCCAATTCAGCAGTTTCTCGCTGGAGTCTGGATTTGAAGTTTTTTTGTTTTAAGATAGCGACCTTCATGTCTGTGATTGCGTGACCAGAGAGATTGAAGTGTTCTCCGACTGGTTTATGAATGTTATAATTCTTGACATCTGATTTGTGTCCATTTATTCTTTTACGTAGAGACTGTCCAGTTTGACCAATGTACATGGCAGAGGGGCATTGCTGGCACATGATGGCATATATCACATTGGTGGATGTGCAGGTGAACGAGCCTCTGATAGTGTGGCTGATGTTATTAGGCCCTGTGATGGTGTCCCCTGAATAGATATGTGGGCACAATTGGCAACGGGCTTTGTTGCAAGGATAAGTTCCTGGGTTAGTGGTTCTGTTGTGTGGTATGTGGTTGTTGGTGAGTATTTGCTTCAGGTTGCGGGGCTGTCTGTAGGCAAGGACTGGCCTGTCTCCCAAGACTTGTGAGAGTGTTGGGTCATCCTTTAGGATAGGTTGTAGATCCTTAATAATGCGTTGGAGGGGTTTTAGTTGGGGGCTGAAGGTGACCGCTAGTGGCGTTCTGTTATTTTCTTTGTTAGGCCTGTCCTGTAGTAGGTAACTTCTGGGAACTCTTCTGGCTCTGCACATCCACCAATGTGATATATGCCATCATGTGCCAGCAATGCCCCTCTGCCATGTACATTGGTCAAACTGGACAGTCTCTACGTAAAAGAATAAATGGACACAAATCAGATGTCAAGAATTATAACATTCATAAACCAGTCGGAGAACACTTCAATCTCTCTGGTCACGCAATCACAGACATGAAGGTCGCTATCTTAAAACAAAAAAACTTCAAATCCGGACTCCAGCGAGAAACTGCTGAATTGGAATTCATTTGCAAATTGGATACTATTAATATAGGCTTAAATAGAGACTGGGAGTGGCTAAGTCATTATGCAAGGTAGCCTGTTTCTTCTTGTTTTTTCCTACCCCCCCCCCCCAGATGTTCTGGTTTAACTTGGATTTAAACTTGGAGAGTGGTCAGTTTAGATGAGCTATTACCAGCAGGAGAGTGAGTTTGTGTGTGTATGGGGGTGGGGGGGATGTGAGAAAACCTTGATCTATGCAGGAAATAGCCCTACTTGATTATGTAAAGAGTTGTCACTTTGGATGGGCTAGCACCAGCAGGAGAGTGAATTTGTGTGGGGGGTGGAGGGTGAGAAAACCTGGATTTGTGCTGGAAATGGCCCACCTGTTGATCACTTTAGATAAGCTATTTCCAGCAGGACAGTGGGGTGGGAGGAGGTATTGTTTCATATTCTCTGTGTGTATATAGACAGGTTTCAGAGGAACAGCCGTGTTAGTCTGTATTCGCAAAAAGAAAAGGAGTACTTGTGGCACCTTAGAGACTAACCAATTTATTTGAGCATGAGCTTTCGTGAGCTACAGCTCACTTCATCAGATGTTTACCGTGGAAACTGCAAAGTCTGCTGCAGTTTCCACGGTAAACATCTGATGAAGTGAGCTGTAGCTCACGAAAGCTCATGCTCAAATAAATTGGTTAGTCTCTAAGGTGCCACAAGTACTCCTTTTCTCTTTGTGTGTATATAAAGTCTGCTGCAGTTTCCACGGTAAACATCTGATGAAGTGAGCTGTAGCTCACGAAAGCTCATGCTCAAATAAATTGGTTAGTCTCTAAGGTGCCACAAGTACTCCTTTTCTTTTTGCGAATACAGACTAACACGGCTGTTCCTCTGAAACCTGTCATTCTCAACAAACTATTTGACAAATTTAGCTCCCTTTTCTGTTTGCAAATTATCCACAGAGAGTTAGACTTTTACCAATTTGTTAGTTATTCAAAGTTATTTGATAATTTTTACTTATTGGCAAAAAGAAAAGGAGTACTTGTGGCACCTTAGAGACTAACAAATTTATTTGAGCATAAGCTTTCGTGAGCTACAGCTCACTTCATCGGATGCATTCAGTGGAAAATACAGTGGGGAGATTTATGTACATAGAGAACATGAAACAATGTTACCATACACACTGTAACCAGAGTGATCACTTAAGGTGAGCTATTACCAGCAGGAGAGCGGAGGGGGCGGGGGAGAACCTTTTGAAGTGATAGTCAAGGTGGGGCATTTCCAGCAGTTGACAAGAACCTCAGACGTTCAAGACGCTCAGACGTTTATATATTGTATATATAATGAGTCTGCAAGCCCCTTACCTTTCATAGGGCTCTGAATTTTCTGGTCCTTTCTGAAATTACTTCCCTGGGGTTCAACTCTTCACCCTACAAATGACTTTAGTCACTGAATGTGTGGTGGGGTGTGCTCCACAACAGGTGCACATGGTTCCAGAACATGTACAATTTGAATTCATTGGCCAACAGAGCCTAGCAATAAGGTTGCTGTAACTACATGGCCTTTCAAATAGTAGAAAGGGATTTTTAGGAGGACTGCCATTGAACACAAGTTGGAAGGTAGCCAAGGCCTTTTATCGGGATGAAGGAAATGGAGCCACTAACGGGTCACGTGGAGGGAGGAGATAATTGTTGTTGGAGGGTCTGGGGAAGTGAACGTCTGAAAGTTCAGCTAAGTTTTAAAGAGTCTCTGAACCTAGTGTGGTTGTACTCATCATCTTCTGTTCTATTTGCTGGTTTATGTCAGATTGATTATTATGTCACTTGAAAGGATTTGAAAGTAACATCAAGCAATACACTGATTCCCACATGAAGAATGTTGGCTGACTCAAGCTATTTTATTATTAACAGTGAATCAAACAATAAAGGAAGCTATAAACAACATATTAACAATATAACCTATTGTTGGATTCCCAAGCTCTCTGTTGAAATACTTACAGAATTATTCTTCCTTATGGGGATTATACCATTTGATCTACATTTCTTCCTGCCAAATTGACCTTTGTTTGTTGGAAAGTAAATATAAATTCAGTTTGAACTGAAAATGTATTTGAAGAGTGCAAAACCCCCTTTCTCTAGCTTAAATCATAAAATACATTGAATTCATTCAGGTTTTTGAATTAATGCTTCTGTGTAAAAGGTAAAATAAAACATTTTTTTCTTTTCTAAATGATACAACATTGGAAACCAATTATGGTTTGCTATCTTATATAGCTCTATTAGCCAATATCTGAGACCCCCTGCAGTTCCCATTGAGAGCAGCAATTCTAAAAATAATGAACTAGTCTGATTCAATTAAAAACATATGGAATACAATGGCTTCAGGCTGAGAGTGACACTTTATGTATTACAGACCAGAATCAAAAGTGTGTAATGAATATAAGTTTGACCACCCATATTCCTGTTCTGTATGGGGAACACGACTTGTAGCATATCAAACTTTTTAACTAATCCTAATCAAGAGTTGTAACAATGGCATTATAACCAATACATGTTATTTTCTCTTAGCTTTTATGTGTGGGTCAAGCATTCAGTTTGAAAGGCTCTAGGTTCAGGAGGAGCATATCTCACTGACATGGCTATTATTCTGATTGTTGTGGACTTCTTTCATGGCTGTGTTGGAACTTGGAACCTCTCTAGATTCTCTTATGTAAATACCCCTCAAAACCCATTAGTAGGCCATTTTATGAGTTTGGATTCCTTAACTGAATTCTAGCCAATAAAACACATCTATGCTGACCAAGGGCCAATGCTAGTAATCCTCAACACTTCACCTTTGCACTTAGCAGGAATGCCACATGGACAATTCACAACCACAGAACAGTATGTATCTTTTGGAAGATCACATAGCATAAGGTCTCCTGGTGCCAGGATAGACTATTGCTTATTCAACAGTAAAATGAAAAATAAGTAAAACTAATTATACCTTCCAAAAAACATTCTGTTTTATAAATACTAACTTGAAGTCCAACACACTTAAGTCCTTAATCAGTCAAAACTCCCTCTGAATTTAATGAGAGTTTCACCTAATAAGGCCTGTAGAATTTGGCCTATTGCCTTTTTCCCATCACCATCATATAAGAGTTCATCTGCTCTTGCTGCTTATCCTTTATCTGATGTCTGAGGGCGTCATTTCCCACTTGTAACTCCATATTTATTTTCACATTAATCCATGAAAATGAATGGGGTCTCAAACAGGCTAAAGTAAAAGTTATAATCTCGTTTGTGACGTCACATTTGGATTTTATAGAAATTACAACATTGCAATCAGGTTTCCAACATCACATGAGGCATGGACATTATTATTATAATTCATTATTCATATTAAAATAGCAATTAGAGGCTCAGGAAAAGGTCAGGGCCCCAGTGTGCAGGGCAATATACAAGCACGGAGTAAGAGACTGCCTGGGCCTTGAAGAGATTATAATCTAAATAGGCAAAACAGACAAAGGGTGGGAGGGGAAACAGTAGCACCGAGACGTGAAGTGATTTGCCCAGGGTCACACAGCAGGTCAGTTGCAGAGTCAGGCATTGGTATATCTAATTATACAATAACTACCAGTTTGGGATGTGAGCCCTATTTCTCAGCAGTTTGTCCTGAATCTGGTATTATCAACTCTGACCCACTGAGGCATGGTGACACCCAGAGAACCCCACAGGGCTGAAGCTGGGAGCCTCGAGCCCCAGCGCTCCCCAGGCGGATGAAGCTGGGGGCCCAATATGCCCCCTGCAGCTGAAGCCCAGGGCGCCCCTCCCCCCACTTCTGGGCCCTGGAATTTTTACAGTATGTTGGGGTTAGCTTAAACAGCAGGTTGAGAAGAACACAAAACAACCCACATTTTTTCTGCTCTGCATGTGTAATTTTTTCTGACTTACCTTGTGATTTCAGCACCTAATTCCCTACATACTGATCCCTGCTGTGAGCATCCAGGAGTGGGCAAGGAACTGGAAGCAGCACAGTCCCGTCTCTCTTTCAGGACTTGGAAGGTTAGCATTTTCTGTTGCTATGGTAATGGGAGTCTCCCTTTTGTCTCCCCCACGTTGCCCAGCAATGTGTCAACAAATGTAAATTCACAGAGCTCCTCAGAAGCTGATTGGCCAGCTTCATTGTTTGGTTAGAAAAAGGAAGGAGGAGATGTGTTCAGGAAAAAACAATGAGAGGCTGTCTTTGCAATCCCCATAAGCATCTTCAGTGGAGTGGGATGCCAGGGTGCAGCAGCTGGAGCTCCCTCCAGATCTTCCTCTCGCTGTTCTATCACTGACCTACACCAGGTAAGGAGGAGGGAACAGAACTCTCCCCGCTCTGCAAATACTCCATAATCACTGACCTACATTAGGTGAGGATGTGTAGGATGCAGGAGGAGCTGCCGCTGGAATACCTGCCCACCCCCACAAGTTGTTATATAGTTATAACATGAATGATGTCAGTGTGTGGTAGGAGATGTAGATGGATACCCTTAAATTACAGGATCAGTCAGCAGTGCATGTCTCATGCCTTGAACTTCCTGGGCACACACCTTCTTCAGTACTGCTAGTACAGCTTTTTACCCCTCTAATCTTCTCCACAGGACAGTTGCCTGTAAATATTGGGCAATCCTGGCTGTTTTTCTCACCTCTGTCTTGAGGGCCCTGCAGATCTCTTCAGAACCCACTGACTGAGTATGCCTCTGTGACCGGGGTTCCTAGTGAGGAGCCAGCTATGGTCACTCAATTAGGGTGAACTGCAAAGAATGGGGCAGACAATCCCCATAAAACTGGTGGATATTCCAATACTTAGATTTACCAAGCCAGCATGAAACAGCTTCCTTATTACCTTACTGGTTACTCAGAAGTCCAAACAACACAGTTCCCCTTAGGCTTCCATCCAGGTACCCACGTCAAATATGATGAAAATTTCTGTAAATCTTATTTAATCATATGAAAGAAAAGGTTCTACCAATCCCAGAGGATCAGACACATTACCTTCCAGGTTAATGAATGTTTTAGATCTTATCCAAATACATGCTACAACCAATTCTTATTAACTAAACTAAAATTTATTAAAAAACAAAAGAGAGAAAGAGTATGGTTAAACGATCAATATACATACAGACATGAGTTTGATTCATTGAGGTTCAGATTCATAGGAGAGATGGTGAGCTTTGTAGTTGTAAAGAGTTCTTTCAGAAATAGTTCATGGGTTATAGTCCAATGTCCAAATCTCATATTCAGGGCGTACCAGCATAACTGGGACCTCAGTCTTGTGACTCAAACTTCCCCTGATGAAGCCTAAGGAGATCTGAGATGACAGAATTAGGACCCAAGGATCTTTAATACAATTTCATGTCTTTTGACAAGTTGCAGTTCCTCAAGGAACAAAAGGTAATTAGGATGACTTTGAAGGAGTCCATCACCGGTACTTAGCTATATGAATTAACGGAATTTGCTTGTTACGCCACCATTCACAGTACATTTCAAAGAGAGATGAATACCGAGATATCCCGTGTTACATTTCATTTAAATGCTAGGATATTTTTTTGACCTCTGATTTATCAGAATACAGCATAGACAGGGACTGTTGATTACATTGTGGACCCTACTCATACATATGTAAATACACAAAAACACAGACATTGTCTCCCCATATGTCTTTTAAGGGTTATTTATTTTGCAGAATGTTTAACCCCTTCTAGCCATGTGTCACAGCCTCTGACATCTTGGTTTGACAAAACACTAAACTTTTATTTAACCTGAGTAAACAAACATAACCATAGGCATTCAATATTTTGCCAAATAGTTGAATTTTTCCTTGGAAAATAAACCTATTTCTGCAGGAAAAATCCCTATCACAGCATATGCACATGATAATAGTGCTGAGGGCTTATACATGACTGCTATAGTCATTTCATAACTTTCTTAATAAAAAACCAACCCTCAGTTTTTGAAAATTTGCAAATAATGCCTAATAGACACCATTTATTTAAGATATTGGCAAGAACAATGTTTTGTGTTCTGCTAAGCAACAGAGATCTGTTGCAAACAAACCCTAGCACCAGAGCTGTGTTGAAATTATCAGTGATGCAGGTATGCTGCTAACAAGGAAGTAAAGAAAATAATGAAGTAGGATTTTACATTATTTCCCTCTCTTGCTGCACACCCTGTGTGTGAGATCACCAAACCAATTAGAATAGGAATTAGAAATGACCAGTTAGAATACCAACTGCCAAACCAATTACCAATTAAAATATTACTTACCAAGTACACTACCAATTTACTAGGTAGAATACCAATTTTAAAACCAGTTATCAATTTATAATATAAAATAAAAATTAAACGTAAGTCAAAGTATTCAACTATTATGTCATAATATTGGTCTAACCCCATTTGGAATTTTATGTTATGTTATAAATTATAATGTAATATAACATAAAAGCTGAGTCAATAAAGTTGAAACAGTGATTTTTACCTTATCACAACTAAACATTTTGAAAAGGTTGAAATGAAATGCCATTTTCCAAAACAAAACTTTTGAACTTATACCACGGGAAATTTTGATTTTTTTCTGTTCTCATTTTGGAATGAAAAAATCAAAATGCCTGAATTTCCCATGAAACTGGAATTCCAGGTTCCAGCCAGCTTTAGCAGCAAGCATCGGATACCCACCTTTGTTACTCCCCTACACCCACCCTTATGGCTCAAGATTCTATTACCTCTTCTGGGATGCGCTCTGTGACTTTCCTTTTAAAACAGTTTAAAAGCCTCATTTCCCATATTGTAAACAAATTTTTCTGTGATGATAGAAGGAATCGAGTTTACATTTTTTGTTTTTTAATTGAAAACTGTGTGGAACAGTGAGAATGCCAATGAAAGCTGAAGGCACCCAGCACTTTGCAGAATCATATCCCTGGAGAGTTAAAACCCAAAGAAGGACTTCTATATTTTCTTTTAGGTCCCAGGGCAGCCACTGCAAATAGCCTTTTTCTGATGGTAAAGGGGCATCAAGGCATGAATCCATTCTTTTATTCATGTCATAGACTTTTTCCTCCAATAATGCATAATACAGTTTTAGCTACTGATAAGGCAATGCCAGTAATTGTAATTGTAGATCCAACTCTATAAGAGCTATTTATTATAATTGGATAAAAGTAGTTGGCAACATTGATACTGCAAACCCATTGATAAAGAAAAGGCTTACACATATCTACAGCATCTATAATGTCCAGCCATCACAACTCAGAACTTTGGAATTCAGCAGCTCAAAACAACTTTCATGAAGTCATCATTCTCAGTTTTACATGTGATAGGTATCACTGTTCTTTGCATCTATTTTATACATTTTTTTCTGGGATCAAAAACATACTGTGAATACTGTAAAAGGATCATTCTATGTTTCGAATGCTTATATATTTCTCATCACATATTGTGGACCAAGGTATCAGGGAATGTACCATGTTCTCAAATTGCTTTCCCACTTGACCTTACACTTATTATACAAGACACTCTAATGACTCATAATAAATTGGTATAAGATTGACATTTTCTTTTTATCCAAGTAGATCAACAAATCATTCTAAGATTAAAATCTCAGTCAACTAATGGAGCAGAATTAGTAATTTACATTAACTAATGCCTGTAATGTAAATGTCTAGAAATTAGTCCTAGGAATATAAGTGGAGCCCAGCCCATCAAGATAATTAATGTCTTATTATATACATTTTGAAAGATCACACTCCCCATTTGTTCCCATGCTTGCTATAGAGGCACCCTGAAGAGCCTCCAACAATCATGGGCTCTGGATTAAAGTCCAGTGTGGCTATTTTACAGATTTTGTTTAAGAATTAGGTCCAGATGGTAAATGAATTAGAAATGACACTGTCTTATAATTTCCTTAAGTTTAACTTTTATCAACATGTTGAAGACACTTTCAGGATCATAACATTTAAGAATCTCCTGATCCAAATTAAAGAGGAAATTCCTGTCCTCTGTAACCAAGAGACTAGAAATTGCATTTGTGAAACTCACTTGCACAAATTTGAAACGTACAATGCAAGGCTACCTCTGTCTGATGGCATGATAAGTTCATCAGTGTTTTATAGCTGTAGAAAAGTTACTGCAAGACTAACCTGTTTAATTAGTTACTTTTTCAAATCAAAATTATATTACAGCAAATGTTATGGTAAACATTTTTATTCGAGTATTTTTTTTAAAAAAGTTTGTAGTTAACATCATACGTCATTTACTGTGTTTGTTATTTCTGATGATCAAACAGGGATTGTTATATTTTCTAGCATGGAGAATCATGAATTTTTTTCTGTGTTCATCAATGTATAGTTATCATCACTCTCCTGAGCGCCTCCAGGCATCTGCGCTATGTTTGCTACTGCTGGAGTAGAGATAACATCCATGTTTTGCATTCAGATAACTTGAGTGATGGTCAACAGTATAAACCCTAATATAGAAAGTATGTTTTCAGCTGAAACTATGAAGTGCAAATGAAGTTAAGCACATGATTAAGTGTTTGCAGGACTGAGACCTTATTTATTTCTGGTTGGCAAGGGGGCAATGGAGGGGGTCTTTTTCTTTGTTTTAAGGGTCCGAGACATTCATCAATAAATTATTTGTATGTATGCAGGACAAAACTGGTCACAATAAACTGAGTTTATGAATATGTTTATAGTCATCATACCTGATAACGATTATATCTCAGTTGCCATGTTTTGTGTCTTGCAGAATTTGGAGTGGGAGCTGGTCTGGAGGACGACTTGGAAGAAAATAAAAGGAACAAAAAGGCTAGGCTCATGGAACAATCTTAAAAAGGAGCAAAGACAGGGGAAGGAGAGAGGTCTTCAATTACTAGGACTTCCTTATTTTTACAACTTGTTATTATTTACTCATGGAGGAAGGCATATTGTGAATACACAAAGAAAGATATTTTGTGATGTACTATTCTTGGTTTCTTGTTTGCTTTACCTCTGATTTAAAAATATTCATAATTTGCTCTCCCCTTCAGCAATGTATCTATTATGTATTGAACAGCATTACTGAGCTCAATTGTGTTTAATACAATGATGTTTGGATGGCTGAAGATTTAGGAGTTTGACTTTTCTTGCCATAAAATACAAACCTATACTATAAGCTTGTAACCTCGAAAGCAATAGCTGTAGGGATTTTCTTTTGCTTCCGCTGCCTTATATATGTAACCCTTCTGCCAGGTGGAGTCAGCAGCAACAAGGGCCAGGTTCAGTATCTAGGGGTTCCTTTTCAACAAATCAACACAAGACCATCTCAAGCCCCCACCCAGTGACCTGGGACAATTACACACCACTCCCTGGCTGCCTGTAAGGGGCAATACTTCCCCTCTCACAAGCACAGAGTGTCAATCTAGCAAAACCTTTTAATAAAAGGAGGGAATTAACTCGGCATTAATTTGGGAAAACACCACAACTAGGGTTCATAGACACAAAGCATGAGCAAAAGATCCACCCCCAAGTAAGTTGGGCAGTGTCCTTTCCCCCTCAGGGCCTTAAGTCCAGCAACCCAAAAGTCTCTTTAACGTGCCCCCTCCCCCGCACCCCACTCACAGTTTCTGCCCTTGGCCAGTGCAGCCACAGAATTCAAAGGTTCAGCTGCAGAGTTCACCTCCCACCCCGTGCAGAAGGCAGGGGCACTCACTCATCACCCCAATGGCCGATTGTCACGCCTCTGTGGGGCTCTGCTCTGGCCCTCTCCTCCAGCCTCCCTGCTGGCCGCTTGCTGCGCCTCTCTGCCAGCCTCCCAGCTGGCCATTCGCCAAGATGTCTTTATGCCCCCCCCCCCAAACTTAACACAGCTCTCAGTGATTTCAGCTGTTAGTGGGGGAGCCTCACTGCTGGTGCACAATGGATAGTCTCTTGCAATAGAGACACTGTCCCAAAGTGGGTCTAATACTTAGACCTAGGTATCAGGTTTCAGAGTAGCAGTCGTGTTAGTCTGTATTCGCAAAAAGAAAAGGAGTACTTGTGGCACCTTAGAGACTAACCAATTTATTTGAGCATAAGCTTTCATAAGCTACAGCTCTCTTCATCGGATGCACTAAGTATCAGTGATTTCAGCTCTTCAGCATGTAACAAGACTCTCAATTGAGTCTAAATTAGCTCTTTTATTATACCATGGAGAGAGGAAGGGTCAAATGGTGTCTTTAACCATAAACAGGGCCCATACCACCAAGTACAAGTACCTGTCCCCAACCTCTCTCAACTCATTGGTCTTTGGAACCCATGTCCCCTAGCGAGTGCCGTTTAGTTGAGTGTGAGTCCCTCCATTGGAGTATGCCAGGTACAGTTCTGCTGCCCTTGGTTCACACAACAAGGATAACAACCCGTTTTTACTCCTGCCCCAATAACAAGGAGACTGGGGATCCAACACCAGCCACAAGTGATCATTTGGCCAAGCAATACCACTATGCTGAGCAACTAGGCAGAGTGGGTGTGTCCATGAAAACGAGATCAGCTTCTGAAGTCTTTTTCCACAGTTCACCACTAGATGTCAGGGGAGAGCTCATTCAGACTCCGCTTATATATGTATACACCCCTACTGCTTTATCCTGCAGATTGGCACATAGATACTATTGCAACAGGTGCATTTGACGTATCTAAATATATGTTAAGAACTTAATTATTCTACACTGGAGTTAATGTTGAAGGATTATTTGTCATTTTCTGAGAAAGGGAACACGTGTCACTGAGGTTGAATGTACCTTGAGTAGGAGTTTAATTACCATTTCTCATGAGAAGTCCGCAGATACAAAAGATCACATTGCTACTAAAAACATAGTTCAAATGTGCACCACCCACATTCTCCTTTGAAACTGGCAATCTTCCTAGGGAGATGAATATGGCTGCAGCTGAAGCAACAGTAACTTTTCAAACAGTGAAATACTGTCAAGCATTCCAAATCTTGGACTTCACTAACCAAATTACACAACAACGTGAATGTGATTCCAATGTTGTCACGACCTGAAAATACCTAGTGCTCATTTTAATCTTTATTTATAATGGTACAGTTACACTTATATAGAACCTTCTATCCATAGGCGCTGACTCCATGCATGCTCCGGGGCTGGAGCACCCACAGGGAAAAATTGGTGGGTGCTCTGCACCCACCAGCAGCTCCCTGCCCCATCCCCCCGCCCCAGCTCACCTCCGCTCTGCCTCGGCCTTCTGCCCTCTTCTCCCCCACTTCTCCCCCTCCCTCCCAGCACTTGCTGCTGCCAGACAGCTGTTTTGCAGTGGCAAGTGCTGGGAGGGAGGGAGGGAAGAGGAGGGGGAACATGGCACGCTCCAGGAAGAGGCAGGGCTGGGGTGGGGATTTGGGGAAGGGGTTGGAATGGGGGTAGGGTGGGGTGGGAGAGGGTGGGGAAGGGGTGGAGTTGGGGCGGAGTGGAGGCGGGGTTGGGGGCAAGCATCCACCAGTGCTGGGAAAAGTTAGCGCCTATGCTTCTATCCAAACTGTGAGGTAGAGGTAATAGTTCAGAACACTAGTGAGTTCTGTCCTCAGTAACACAAACACATAACAACTGGTGGAAAAGAGAAGATGTCAAATCATTAGAATTGGTATAATTAAGAACAGGAAAGTAGGTTTTGAGCAGGAATTAAAATGAAGAGAATCAGAAAAAAAAGGGAGAAAGAATTTCCAGGGAGCTGGGCTAGAAAAGAAGAGGCCTAAAGAAATAGTACTTTAAACAATTTTTTTTAATTAAACCAGAACTTCTCAGACTTGGCAAACAAGGCTAAAGCATTACTTACAAGTGACATCCATAAACAAATATTTCTCATCCACTGCCCTGGACATTACTCATAGCGTCAGAACTGATCATTCCACCACAGTTTAGGCTGTCCTCACCCATGTACTACTTTGAGTTCAGACTCCCTTCCCTGGAATGCTGCAGCACTGCACTCTAACCTCCGTTTACTTGGCCTCCATCTAAAGCTGCTTAGGCTTGTTGCTCTCCAGAGCAGAGAGCTTTAGCCTGGGAGAATTTCCTCTCACAGACTTCCAGAAACATTCAACAAATTGGATTTCCAGAAATTAGAAGCTACTGGCCTTATTTTTATGGCAGTCCTAGGATCCTGTGTGTAAGCAGAGTCAGGATGAGCTCCACCCCTGACATCTGGTGGTGAGGTGTGGCAAGTTGTGGAAAAGAACTTCAGGGGCTGATCTCATTTGCATAGGCACACCCACCCTGCCTAGAATGAGGCTATAACTGCCCAAATGGTCACTTTGGCTGTTGTGGGATTCCTAGTGTCTCTGTTATTGGGGCGGGAAGAATAAATTGTTATTACCCTGATTATGGGAACTGTGCTTGGAACTGTACTTGGCCTTTTGTTATGATGGAGGGACTAACCATCAACTAAGTAGCACTCGCTAGGCAAGGGACATGAGTTCCAAAAGTCTGTGAATTGAGAGAGGTTTGAGACAGGTATTTATACCTGGTGGTGTGGGTCCCTTTGTGAGGGCCTGAAACACCAATTGCACCTCTGTCTCTCTCCACTGTGGAATGTCAGAGTTAATTTTGGGTCTATTAAGAGTCTTGCTACAGGTACTGTGCTGAATTCACTTTGGCCTTATGGTGCACCAGCACTAAGGCTCCCACTACTATGAGCTGGAATCACTGAGCACTGTGTCAAGTAGTGGGGAGCCGGAAGAACTAGAGTGCTGTTTGTGAATAGGCTGGCGGAGTGTTCGTGAGACGGTGAGGCGAGCTGTGCAGAGCGGAGCCATTCGTGAGACAGCAGAGTGTTCGTGAGCCGGCGAGCTGAGCAGAGCTGTTCGTGAGACGGCGGAGTGAAGTGTTCGTGAGACGGTGAGCTGTGCAGAGCGGAGCCGTTCGTGAGACAGCGGAGCGGAGCCCTGTGGGGCAGTCAGCTTCAGGACACATAAGGTGCCCCTTACCTCTTCCCCCCCCCACACACAGGCACATTTTAGCCAGACTGGGGAGCAACACTCTGCAGATGAACTTTTGAACTCTGGGGCTGGACTTTTTGAACTTTGGGTGATTTGTGGATTGCTGGACTCAAGAGACGTTTGGGTTCTCTGGGACTGAAGAACCCGAGGGAAAGGATGTGGCCCAATTTGCTGGGGTGGGTCTTTGCTCATGGTTTGGTTAATGAACACTAGTTGTGGTGTTTCCCCAATTTAATGCTGATGTCGTTTACCTCATGTTATTAAAGATTCTCTGCTACACCGAGACTCTGTGCTTGCGAGAGGGGAAGTATTGCCTCTTTGAGGAGCCCAGGGGGGGTGTAAGATTTTCCCAGGTCACTGGGTGGGGGCTCGAGCCAGTTTTGCATTTGCTTTGATGAGAGGGAACCCCTGTGTAGTGAACCCGGCCCTTGCTGCTATCAACTTGGCCTGGCAGAAGGGTTACATGTGTGCTCAGTCTGCATTTCTTGCAGCTCCCTCAGAGTGGATGTATCAGTGCTGCCTAACTCAGCTGCCATCTCTCACTGGATTTCCTCAGCAATGCAGCTGCCTGCAGCCCCATTGCCAGAAGAGCATCCAAAGTGATGGAATCAGCAAGAGAAGACAACCCTGAATTCCCCTTCTCCCAGGTTATTCCATGTTGTCACCAGAGCAGCCTAGCCTAGCCTGCTAACTTCTTGGACCTGCTGGCAATTGTTGCAAGGACACTGCAGCAGGGTGGTCTAATAGCCCATACCATCAGCTTATAAATGTCCACAAACAAATAACTGAATTCCAACAATACAATATCAGAACTCGGGGGGGCGGGAGGGAGTGCCAATGATGGCACCAGAGTAACGCCACTGCAGTAGGGCCTATCTGAACATAGTGCATTTTAGAATGAGCAGTGCTTCCTAAGCACTAGTGCTCCTGTCCATTCCTTCTAGTCTCCCAGGATTTCAAACTCTGCTTTGGCAGAGGTTATTCTTCTGTTCCTAATATTCTTCACCTCTGGCAGACATCCTTCACTTTATAAGTACCTGCACAGGGAGAAAATACTGGGTACTAGCAGACACTGTAATCGAGAAAAGGCATAACAAGAAGCAATGGCTGGAAGTTGAAGCCGGACAAATTCAAATTAGAAATAA